GCCTTTGTTATAAATATTTATTATTAATCATACGTGAAATAAAATCATCACAAAATTAATTTTGATAGTATCTACAAATGACTAGTAGGTAGTAGGTACATAATAAATAATCCAATTTTTTCAACTTTGAATCATCTATATAAATCTTTAAAAAAAATATCCATAATCTATTAGGTATTACATACTACTAAAATACATTTAGTTTCAATTTCTTTTCAATTGTTGCCACAACTTTTTATTTCACTTTGTACTAACACAGCAGGTATTCAAAGTGTTAAGATATCACTATTTTTTATGAAAGTCTGATGTCTATAGTTAGCTAATAGCTTGTTTTTAGATATGTTTTATATTATAAACAGTTGTACCTACTATAGAGTTAGAGTATAATACTATGATTATGGATTGTATTCAATTTTTAGATTTTGGTATTATATAGTTTTATACTAACAAATAATTAAGACATGTTTCTGAAAAATGTAATACGTTTATTCAATGAGTATGTACTTTTATGTGAATGTAACAATTATTATAATTTTGCCAATTTTTTTCAGAAATGAACGTGAAAATTATATCAATAATAATTTATAATAATTCAAGTATCCATGCAAATAAAAAACTAACAAAGAGTAGTAAAATTGACTAGGTAAATAAGGTTAACTTTATGTTTAAAAATATAAAATATATTCATCATCATTCGTCYATAAAAATTAGAACTTAAATTAAAACAGGTTTGTTCTGATTTGTTAATTTATTCTTATTCCGCATAATATATAATATTAGTTTAATACACCTATGACCTATGTTTGTATGTGTGTACAATTGCAGACAATCACCGTTTGGTGATCTTTTGTAAATCAACCATAGAATGTGTAATCGTACTTCAATAACTGTGTAATTAATAATTATATTTTATTTTATTATATTCTGTGTGAATGATTAACCGGATCTATATTCGCTCTAAGATTTATTTGTTTTGTTGATTACTACTAACTAGATTACTTTTCCACCGACTTAAATCAAAGAGATCGTCAATAAAACTTATGTTTATGATGCTATGCTAATTTGTAGTGCGAATTTGCGATTTTCCATTGAAGAGAAAAAAGCCGTTTCAATTTAAATAATTTTTATAGTATCACAGTCGTAGGGCCCCGACAGACAGGGATAATATAATAATATTTATTGAAGGACGTCGCACCGGATTTGCAGTCAATTTGTGTCTCTCTCTACCCCCTCCATCTCTATCATTCAGAAATAAATTAGTTGATCAATAATGATATTATACATATATAATCGTAAATGGTTGTAATCGCATTAAACTTGAATTGATACTGCTGCAATTTATATAAGTGCCTATATAACGATTTAACTTTTAACGTCATATATTTTTTTTTACCTATTGAACAGTTTTTTTAACTGGTGTTCAATGGATTTTGAATTATAATGAAACGTTGTTCGTACAACTTTTCTTTACACATTACATTACTTTAACTGAAGAACCTTACTATAACTACATGAGGTATTTCACATGTGATATGTGAAAAGAATTGACATTTTGATATAACGTATAAAAATGTTCGCGATAGATAGGTATTAGGTATTACTAGTTTTGGTGGAAGCATATAACTCTTGTTTCTATAACAAGGGGTGGTATACTGATTCCCTTCACTTCATAACAACACACACTATAAGTATAGAGTATTTCCGTAAGTGATATTATAAAAATTAAGACGTTTTAATTTAATTARCTCGTACTAACATAAATAGGTATACGTTCATCAACTAAACATACTTTTATTTCTTATCTATTTTTTTCAGTGGACGTCAGTGCAATGTTTACATTCCGCCCATCTGGCCATCTAGGTCTATGTTATATTATAATTTCGATGAAATTCCATCAATAAAGTACGTAAGCTTTTTTCTTATTATAATGCTTTAATTTGTATCATGATAGTATCACGACTGATGAATCGGATATAAATACTTGCTTGTCTGCACATGTGTATATAATGTTTATGTATCTAATCAGTTTGCTCATCAATGATATTTTTATAAAAATCATTCATTAATATTTAACAGCAATCTATAGTCTATTATTACATCACAATACAAAAATTCTTCCAATTACAAGTGTTCGGGGRTGAGAGAAGTTGGYTGTGGATTAACCAGAGTATGCAGTAAGTTAAATTTGTGTTGTAATACTTATTGCGGTTAAAAAGCTATAACTTAGTGAATAATCACATCCATTKGGCGTTAAACGAATTTGACTGAAGTAATAGCCAAATTCATTTTATTAAAATCACAATTTTTTACGTTATTTTACATAATCGTKTCTTTGATAGTTTTTTTCGCGTGTACGTTATAMGAAATACTACAGTTAAAATCCAAAAAATGCTCCTTTTAAATAAATATAACTGTATAAGGTATACCAATAGTAGATTAAATTTCTATTCAATGTTATAATATAACATATTATGTGCTATTACAAGCATTACTCTGGTTTCTATAATTTAAATGACTCATCGTTATACCAAAACAGGTTGGCATAAATCACAACTAATAAAAAAGAGAAACAACGACATTTTTAACCTATAACTTCACACACAATCAAAAATGTAAAAAGTTGTGTAGCATATAATGTATTTATTAGTACTGTCTTGTGATCTAGACTAGACATCATTGAYTGAAATAAAAATATTTTAATAAAACGTTTTACATTTAGTTATTACTACCACACAAAATTTAGTAAATTAATTTGYAAACTATAACCTTGTAACACTAATATTCTAGCCTCTATGTATACAAAATAATGTGAACATTTAAATCACATCAAGCACGAGGATTAAAAATGAGACAGTGAACCATCGAATTATTATTTTTTTCCATATCGATCGATCATCATAATATACTATAATAACTTTGGTAGGGCCCTTATACTGGTACTACAATCTAATATACGCTGTAGTTGATTGACCGAAAGCAAATAGTAAAAAAAAATCAAAATAATCGTATTATTGTATATCCTTTACACGATATGGCGTAATGAGTTTGCGCGTGTGTGTATTTATAGTTTCCGCAGACAATAACGTCAATAACTAGTGTAGTGTAATATTTTCTTTTTAATTAAGGTTATTTTCAAAGATATTAAAATTGATGTGTTTTTTTAAGGGTAAAAATTCAGCAATGAKATACCCGTTAAGTACATGTATATTTAAACTCACAGTAATATTTCGTATTTAAAATCAACAAATAAATTCCGTGAAAAAACATTTCGTTTAAACCATAGAATTATTATAAGGCAAAAATACAAGAATATATTATATAATATAACAAGACTAATATTTTATAATCCATTTAAATAAATTAACATTTTCTTAAAATATGTATAAATATTGTCTTTTTCCATCGTTTTGTATTATTTTGTATTTCATTTTATTTTTTTTTCTGTCTTTAATAGTTATATTCTCACAGTTTTTGATAGTTACCATAAATTGTCCATATTATATCTATTGTTCAAACAAACTTTTTTTTTTTTTACATATTTTTTTTTGTACAATCTGTAACAGAAATTTACAATAAGCACAATGGAGGGTTATAYAGTAGGACGTGGTTGGCTTGGTTGAAGAAGCTATTCAGTAATAGCACTTCATGGCGAGATAGTTGTGAAACAAACAAACTTAAAAGAAAATAATG